GTGAGAGGCCTCTGGTGGCCATTTGCTCCAAAGTAACAGCGGCTGAGCGTCCAGACTAAGGCTGTTTGCAAAGAGGTGCTATTCCTCCTCCCGGGAGAAGCCGGGGTTACTGGTTTGAAATAACGGGCTCGCTGTGTGGACGCTCACCTTGTTATTCCGAAATAACTCCCCAGGGCAAGGATCCCAGCGCTTCTCCTGCCTCTCAGCTTTTCTCCATCCACCACAGTGAGTGACCCCAGCCACTGCGCAGCCTCCCTCTGCCCTCAGCTTCCTGGCTGTCTGCTGACCAGCCTTTACTGACACATTGGGCTTCATATTCCAGTGAGCCTGGATATCCATCCTGACCCCCATTACCCTTTCAGACCCCTTGTGGGGTGCGCCCCCTCACATCCCACCTGCTGCCACTTGAAAATGCCAAATAAAAAGGCTGCCACGTTTGCTGTACTGCCATGTTTTATTTGCAGAGCCATGGACAGGCCTTTTGGGGCCTGGTGTGTGAAATGTAGATAGAGCAACTAGAAAGGATTTCATCTCATCCTCATTGGTCCATTCATCTTTTGATAGTCCAGGGCTAAGTAAGAAGCTGAGCTGCAGACCACAGGAAGCAGCAGGTTAGATTGAAGTGAAATTCTGCTCATGATTATTAATAAACTACATTTAAACCACAAGAGAAAATGAAACATGAAACTATGTTGTCAGGATTAACCAAAGCAGTAATTATACAATGAAACAACCAACCTCCATCCTCTCCTAAATACATTAATCACAAATTCCCACAGGTAAACTGTAAGTCTACAACATGCATTCCAAATGCTACAACACGCGTTCCAAATGCTGTTTAATACCCCCTGGACCATGCCTTCCTTTTGGGGTTTCATGTGCTGTTCCACTTTTTCTCCAAAATTTCTGCATTTTTCTTCAAAGTTTCCATTGTCATAACGGAGCATCACCTCGGCCTCAACGTATAATTCACTTGTGTAATAGGCGTTTCCATTCTCCTTCACCATCCTCTCAGCGATTTCCATCAGCGCATGGACCTGCTCTGTCTGTTCTGCTCCAGATGCTTTGTTATTGAAGGCGCAGTATCGGCCCCCACACTGCTGAATCAGAGTCCGCAGAGCTTTATTATCCGAGTGGCTCGGAGCATCACCTCGGCCTCAACGTATAATTCACTTGTGTAATAGGCGTTTCCATTCTCCTTCACCATCCTCTCAGCGATTTCCATCAGCGCATGGACCTGCTCTGTCTGTTCTGCTCCAGATGCTTTGTTATTGAAGGCGCAGTATCGGCCCCCACACTGCTGAATCAGAGTCCGCAGAGCTTTATTATCCGAGTGGCTCACGTAGTGACTCAGTGAACCGCCCCCTAAATCTTCCTTCCGGGTGAACAAGATGATCATGTGCCTCATGGCCCCACGTCCAAAAATCTCTTGGACTCGCCTCACGGCTGTCTTCCTGGTCTTCTGCAGTGTAACGGCCCAGCTGGGTCACCAGCACCAGCACGTGAGGGCCTGGGATGGACAGCATGATACAGTGGCTGATCTCTTGGTAAACTTCCCTGCTACAGTTCTGGGGGTTGAAAATTGCAGGCGTATCAATCACCAGAATCTTCTTCCCATCCCAGTCCCTCCTGCCAGATCTACAAACTCTGGTTACTGCCTGGGCTGCAAGTTTGGATTCAAACACGTTCTCTCCAAGGATGCTGTTTCCAGTCGCACTTTTCCCCGCTCCGCTCTTACCGGCAAGGACGAGTCTCAGCTCTGAGTCTCCATGTTGACCATGGCGCCATGTATCTGTTCCGAACAAGAATGGGAAGGTCACGTCAGAGGGAACACAGGCCAGCAATGGGGAAGAGATTGTTGTTGTGTGATCACGGGAGAGCCTGGGGTTTCTGGGTCACTGTTCTGCTGACCACTGGCTCTGTCTGTGACCCTGGTTAAGCCACTTACCCCTGTGTCTTGGTTTCTCCACTAGAAAGGCAGGGTAGTGCTGCTGGGTCACTTATTTTTTAACGGACATCTCTTCTAAGCCTCTAAAGCCCACATGCAGTTGGATAGCTGCAGTGGCACAGGAGCCAGCAAACAGAGCTGTAAACAGGGGAGTTTGAGTGGGAATTTGTAAGGGGAGTTTGGATTGTGGGACTTGTTTGGAGTTTGTTTTTGCTGTGCAGAGGGTGTTTTGGTTTGTTTTTGCTGTGGAGGGGGTGTTTTGGTTTGTTTTTGTGTTCACCGGACTAATAGAATTTTGGTGAAAAAGTAGATAAAACACAGAGGCTGTAGTGGCCATAGCCCAAGTAGCAGAGAACACAAGGAAGATGATTGGATGTGGTAGCTGCGGTATGTACATGATTCTGGAGGGGGTACCTGAAAGGAGTTTTGTTTGCATGAAGTGCCACGTGATAGAGCTGATGGAAGAAAAGATCTGAGGACTGGCGATGCAGGTGGAAACTCTGGTCGAGTTTAGAAGGGGGGTTGAGCAGATGATGGGGCAAAGGCATGACGTGGCTGAAGGGGAAAGCTTAGATATGCAGATGGAAGCAGGATCAAGGGCCTCAGAGGGGGGACTGGTGGGCAAAGAAAATGGACAGTGGAAGCATGTGACTCAGAGAACCAGGCAGAGGAAAAGATGGGTCAGTGAAGGAAAAATAGAGCTCAAGAACAGGTATGTGGAGTTGGAGAATGAAGAAGGGGTACAGCAGGTGGACAATGAAGATAGAAGGGTGAGGAAGAAGAGAAGAGTGGCTAGTCCCATAGATAAAGGGGAAGAGTTAATGGGGACAACAACAATAATGAGCATCAAGAGGATACAAGATGGGTTAAAGAGGATTACAAGGGAAAACAGGAATGGTAAGGACTCGCAGCCAGAGGAAGCAAGAGATAGACCACAGAATTGCACTGTCACTAGGAAAAGGCAGGTCTA